CTGCCCCCGCCGCGCGCCCACGGCTCCCCCCTGCACCGGCCACCCTCGGCCGGGCTCTCTCAAGCGGCCCTGACAACTGGTCAGAGGCTCTTGTCGCGGAGACTGTTACCAGGTTCTCTCCCCCTTTCCCCGCGATTAAACGTGCGCGGTGTTTGTTCACCTTTCCTCACAGCTCAGGTGTCTACACCCGGTGTCCTTGTTCTTGCTCTGGACTCTCTCCAGTTTGCCCACATCTTTCCTGAAGTGTGGTGCCTAGAAGTGGCCCCTGTTTTACAGCGGAGGTCTCCCGCAAGCTGGGGGGAAGGAGGAGACCCTCCTCTTGGACAGGGGCCACACCTCCCTTCATGCACCCCACACGGATTAGCCTCTTTAGCAACTGCCTTACCTTGTCGACTCATATTGACCAGTTTCTGGTCAGCAATACTGATGTCAACTCAGTGCTGTCCCGTTTTGTAGTTGTGCATTTCATTTCATTTCTCCTTCCTAAGTGGGGAGTGCTTATGTCAGAGGTGAGCAAAAGGGCTTCTGGGGGCCGGATTTGGCCCACCAAATCCCTGCCCCTCTCCCCACCTCGGGAGCCAATTAGGGCCCGAGGGCAGGTGGAGAGCGGTGGATACCTCCTCTGCCCGGCAAGGAGCACACCGCACTTCTAAGTGCCATGCACTCCTGGCAGGGTGGGTGGAGGCTTCACATGCTCCCCTGTCCCCAGGCCAATCAGGCCGGGGGAGGCGGGGGGCAGAGAGTGTGCGCAAAGTTTCCTTTCCCTGCCTCCACCCTGCGAGGAGCGTGCAGCACTTAGAAGCGCTGCATCCTCCTCACAGGGCAGGAGGAGGTTTCACATGCTCCCCCACCCTCAGGCTATGTCTAGACTGCAAGCCTCTTTCGAAAGAGAGCGTCTAGACTGCACGCGGAATTTCGAAAAAGCAAGCCGCTTTTCGAAAGAAAGCACCCAGTGAGTCTGGATGCTCTCTTTCTAAAAAGTCTGTTTGCACTCAAGAACGCCTTCTTTCGAAAGAGCACTTTCGAAAGAAGGCGTTCTTCCTCGTGGAATTAGGTTTACCACCGTCGAAAGAAAAGCCGCATTCTTTCGATTTAATTTCGAAAGAACGCGGCTGCAGTCTAGACGCAGGTGAAGTTTTTTCGGAAAAAGGCTACTTTTCCCGAAAAAAACCCTGAGTCTGGACACAGCCTCAGGGAGAGCACAGGAAGCCTCCTCCCACAGCCAGGGGCATGGGTGGGAAGTGGGGGCAAAGGGGCTCCCCACCTCTACACGAATCATGGGGGGGTGGAAGCCCAGAAGCATCCTAGCCCACCCCTTCCATTTGAGGCCCTGCCCCTTCCATTGCGGCCGTGGCCACTTTAAAAAATAAATAACTAAAAATTTTTTGAAGTGGCCCCCAGCAAAAAATTATTGCCCACCCCTGACTTATGTTCACTGATTTTCATCTTGAATGCAGACTCATTGGTCAAGATGATTTTATATTCTAATCATGCTCAACCTCTTGCAAATTGGTATCATCTGCACATTTTATAAGCATAATTTCTCCTCCACCATTATTCAAGTCATTAATATATTTTGACTAGTACCAGATCCAGGACTGATGCCTGGGACCCTACTAGATAAGCCCTACCAGTTTGACAGCAAATGATTGATAAGTACTCTTTGTGTGATGTTTTTCAACAGTTGCGTACCAACCATATAGTAGATTCATCTAGACCTTATTTGCCTAGTTTGTATAAGAATGTCATAGGACTGTGTCAACAGCTTTACTAAAACGGAAATATATCACATCTACTCCTTCTCCCAAGGAGTGCAGGTAACCCTGATAAAGAAGGAAATTAGGTTGATTCAGCATGATTTGTTCTTGACAAATCTGCTGGCTATTTCCTATAACATTATGTCCCATAGGCAGGGCTTCACAAACGGCGGCGAAAGCCGCTTGCCAGCCCCAAACTGCGTGCAGTTTGTCGAGCCCTGCCCATAAGTATTTACAAATTGATAATCTGTTACAGTATTTTTCTGTGCATCAAAGTTAGGCTGACTGGTTTGTAATTCCCAGGGTCATCATTAAAAAGAGAAATAAAGAGAAATATTAAGTTTGCCCTTCTGCAATCCTCTGGGACCTCACCTATCTTCTGATTATAAATATCTAAGGGTGTGACTACACTAGCCCCCTAGTTCGAACTAGGGTGGCTAATGTAGGCACTCAAACTTACAAATGAAGCCCATAGTTCAAACTGACTGCCCGTGGCTACACACAGCAGTCAAAAGTTAATCCAAACTAAATCCTTAGTTCGGATTAACTGTTACACCTCATTGCAGGAGGAGTAACAGTTAATCCAAACTAAGGACTGCTGCTGCAGCCCGCCTTGAGCCACTCCTGGATAAGGGGAAGTCATTTCTGATTCCCCTGCCACTGACTCGAATTGGCCTGGCCCACTGGCCTCCCAGCCAGTTCCCTACCTACTGTTGGCTTTGCTACACTGCCAACCCCACTGGGCAGCCACGTGCCGTGGTGCTGGGCCCTGCTGGATAGCCACACACGGCAAATCCAGACCCTGCATGGCTACCACACCCTGCCGGTGCTGCTTTGGCAGCTCCCAAACCTGCAGGATAGCCACTGCCTTCCAGCCCCACTGCTCAGCTGGGTCTTCCAGCCCCACTGCTCAGCTCCACTGCCATGCACTGTGTGGCTCCACCAGCAGCTCACTGCAGGCAGTGCTCCTTGCTGCTGGTTCTTCACTGGGACACTTTAATCCTGCAACATCTGTGCCGGACCACAGATGTTGCCGATACAGAGAATCCTGGTTTAGCAAGTTTCAACCTGAATGTCTCCATCAGGGTCTTTTTAATGACCTGGAAATCAAAAAGGAATCTCATAAAAAGTAGAAGCATGGACAAATTGCTAATGAGGAGTACAGAACACCACAAAAATGTAGGGCAAAAGCAAAATAGTCTAATACACTGAGTTACAACTAACAAGGAACATAAAAGGGAATAAGAAGATGTTCTTTAAATACAGTAGGAGCAAGGAAAAGACAATGAAAAGTGTAGGTCTGCTGCTTGGTGGAGAAGGAAAGTGAATAGATGACATCAAGAAGGCTGATGGGCTGATACTTCCAGTTCTTCCTGTGTATTCCCCATCTTCCTTGCATTTGTGTATAAACATCTAAGATGTCAAGCAGATTCCCCCCCGTGATTTCCCTCTTGTTGACCCCATTATAATTTTCCATGTCCCCCCTCCAAATCAAGGTCTCTGTTATGGTCACCTTTTCTATATTTGCCTGCTCTCTTGGAACATGGTTTATAGCTCTCCTCACTACGTTGGTAAGTTGGCATGCAAAGATATTCTTTTCCTCCATGGTCAGGTGGACCCCATCTTTCCAAGCAGACTTTCTTTCTGAAACAGCAACATGTGGCCAAGGAAGCCAAAGCCGACCCATTGACACCATCTACACAGCCATGCATTCATCTCCAGCATGGTGTGATGAGTGCGATCACAACTCTGTCACTGCTGATCTTCTCAGGGTCATACCTGGATAAGCAGCATGGTGTAGTGGTCAGAGGGTTGGCTGAACCTTGGTAAGCTTTGTGCAACATTTCAGCCTCTAGGCAGGCAGCACATGCCCCAGGACATCATATCAGGTCAGCAGATGGATGCCTCCATTCCTCTCAGAAGGGAGTCCCTGACCATCAGCATCCTACACCTCCTCTTCTTGGGTAGAGTGGCCCTGAGCCTCCCAGCTTTTGGAGAAGATTCTTCCTCAGACATTGGGATCTGTTCCTTACCTCCGGTTGCCACTACAACATAATAGTTCTTCATCTCAATGCATAGGGGGAATCTGAGTGGAGTACTGTTTGCTGCCCAAGGTGGCCAGCAGCTAGTCTCCACTCCAGCAAGCAACCAGTTCTCCTTCCTACTCTGGTCTCACTATCATCATCCAAATCACCTAGCCTCCTCCATGCTCGTGGATTAAATACTGGTGAGTCTTTTCCTCCTGCCGCTCTTACCTGCTCCCCGAGGGATACCTCTCCCACCAAAGGATTCCCTCTGCCTGGCTTTCATTGGCAGGCTGCATTCCTAGCAAGTCGAGACCAGACCGTAGGTAGAAGTCTCTTTGGCAGAGGGCCCCCACAATTGCAGGCAGAGGAAAAGCTATCAGTGATGTTGGCAGCACACCATGTGCCTTATTTTGGCTACAAGTGCCAGAAAACTACACACAACTTACCTCCCTTTCTTCAGCAGCTCACTAATTGCCTTTGTTTCCCAGCTGCCTTTGCCTTACCCACCCACAGGCAGCCTTGGCTCTACAAACAGTTGAAATTCACTCTAATCACTGGCCTACCCAATCAAAACTGCTCTTCAGTCACATCAGAGAGCTCTGCTAGAAAGCAGGTAAAAACTCATCTACCTGCAGGGCAATGGCAACCAGCCCAGTCCTACCAAGAGCTCCCAGCATGGGATATACTCTTCTTTCACTCCCCACAGCTAATCAACGGCGATAAGACAGATGTGCCCCAGAGATGCTCACCAGCTGGTTAACTCCCAAAGACTCCCAGCTGCCTTCATCTCACCTGCCACATGAAGTCTGCAAAGGTGCTGGGGTTATAGTGAGAGCTGGGGTGACATGTAATGTGCTGGTGGATGGAAGGATTATACCGGGCAAGAGGAAGGATTTGCATGGGTGGAAGCTGTCTCCATTCGGGCATTCATTGGTGATCCAGCCACATTTACAAAAATAAGTCCATATTTTTAAAAAATACATAAAAAGCCAACAGGGATATGGGGCAGACAAAGGTACATTTTGGAGCCTACACAGTTGGCTGTCTCTTTGATGCAGCAATGTCAAAAGGAACATGAACTTTGCTACTTTGTCATTTTACAAGAAAGGTTGCACAGGTCAGCGACATGCTTGTTGTGGGGAGGAGCTGTGTGGAAATTTAAAAAAAAAGACAAAATGACCCCAACATAAACATTTATTTTCCTCAGTAATTTCATTTCTAGGAAAAGCATTACAAATACAGTGTTCACATATACAAACACATCAGCTCAGTTCAGAAACCAAAGTACATGCTCAGCCATGTTGTATATACTCTAGCAATGTAATGAGTTAAAGCCAAGGACCCATGGACTTGCATCACTGTTTAGGCACCTACCGATTGGAAGTGTGGGGTCTTGCATGTTGCTTACTGAAAAAGTAGTAAGAGTGAAACTGCATATCTAGTCAGACGTTCAAATTACCAGGCTGAATATAATGTGTAAATTTAGATTCATCTAGTAAAATATCTTCTAAACAGCATGAGGAAAATCTCCTGTATTTATTTCAGTTCAAAACACTTTTTAAGTGCCCGTGATTTAATATTAGCTGAAAATAGGTTATGCACGTAGTCATTAGTTTATGTGTATTGTCAAAAATGTACTTTATGGAGAATTTCAGCCTAATCCAATATTGCTAAATATTAAAAGCCACATTCCACTAAATACACTTTTATTAAAATTGCAAGGGAGAACTTGGCTAGAATCTTGATGTGTACAACATAGATCATAAGCAATATGATTCATAGTACTAGAAGTTGTAAGACTTTAAAATCTACGTGGTATATTAAGAAAGAAAGGTAGATAACACTCTAAATATAATTTCTCTTTGTATTTAAAAATAAAGAACTATCTTAATGTATTAAAATGTTCAAAAGCAAATGTATTCAGGAAAATAAATAATTTCTGTGCTTGAAACAAGAGTTTAATGTTTTGTATGCGGGTCTAATAAAACCATTGAATAAAGGTTTATAAAGGCCTATCAATTAATTTTAAGAGACACACATCCCTTTATAACTGCTATGTCATAATTAATTACAGTGGCAAATATCTCATGGTTTACATACGTTCATGTAAAAAATAATAGCTGTTCTGACAAAAATTATCATAACATCTTGATTGGCAGATGCATTTATTTCAGAAATGGATCGATCCCATGTATCTATGACAGTCAATCAATAGATATACCATCAGTTAATTGGAGTGACTAGTGTCCTTTGGAGTATCAGTATCATCTGTAAATTCAGCTTGAACTTTTTTTATCTTGAATTCTGAGGCATGACATTATGCGGTTGGTATACTAATAATTGGATGATTGAAGTTAACAGGTAATGATGCCAGGCATTCAGGTAGCATTGCTTTTTTGATCTCAGGACTGCTGCCTGGCATTGCATATGAATCTTTCAGTAATGCTGAAGATCTGCTAGTGCTCCAGAATTCCACAGTATTAACCCATTCTTGGCTTTTCCTATTGTCTGTGCAATACTCATTATTTAGCTTTATCGCAGTTGATTTTTCTTCCTTGCTGAAAGCTGGCTGAGAACACCTGGCAGATTTGGTTACTTCAGCGATTTCTTCATTATTGTCACTAGGCAGAGGGTTTTTCTTAAAACAAACTGCAGGTTGAATAATGCTTTTGTTTTCCCAATGATCATATGAGATTTTGTGAAATGATTGTGAATTGACATTTGGGCAGTCATGTATTTTAATAGGTTTTGTTATGGATATATAATCCAACTGTGATGAATCAGCCAGCCTGCCTTTTTTTTGAAGCTGGGAGACTGTGAACAGTGGTTTTCTGTAAGAACCATGAAATTTAGCAACAGTTGCTGCATTTATTTTAGTGGATTGGTGTGCTGCAGCTTTTGGGTTTACTCCAAATATAACAAGGCCATCAGGATTACATTCAGCCTTTGTTGCTGAAACATTCCTGTCTTTTGATATGAGCTTACTGATTGGTACTTCAGCATCATGAAAGCTACCAGCTATTTTCTGAACAAGAATTTTTTCCTTCTGTGAATTTTTTATGCTTTTACTTTTTCCATCTGGAGATAAAATATGAATATTGATTTTTTGTTTCCCAGATAATGTTCTTTTTAGCTTTTTATTCCCCTTAGCAGTTACATTAAAAGTACTCTTTTCTTCCTTTCCAGATAAGGCCAGGGCATAATCAAAGTTGTTTTGTAAAACTGAATTTGGATTTGTTTGTACCTCATCATTTTCATTTTCTAAGTCACAAGACACTTTATTTCCATGTAAACGCAGCCACCTCTTCAAAATAAAGTTTTGCATATATCCTTCTTCAGCATAAATGATGGGGTATGTTTCACTCACTTTCTGTAGAAAAAAAGAAATTGAACTTAAGTTTTCTCACTTCTTTCATATAGTTCTAAGGTGTTTACTTAAAAAAGTCCAAGAATATGTCGAAGATGCAGAAATAAATAGGCTCAGATCAGATAATATACTTAGACATCACATTAACAGTCACATAGTGCTGAAATTCACGATAAATACAGCTTATTATATGGCACTACAATGTATTATAAATGATTGACATTTGTTTCCAGCTCAGGTAGACCATGAGTATCCATATACAACTATTCAGAAAACTGTAGTAAAAGCAAAAAGGGATACATAGAGCTCCCATGGGAAGGAAAGACCTCCAGAGTTTTGTTTTCTGGGTTGTTTAAAAAAATCTTTAAATATGTCTGAAAAAATAGCCAGTAAGTCCAGTAAGTGAATTCAGGCTCCAGGGCTAAAGTTTATTCAGGACACGCATGATACAAGCTAATCTCAAACTTCAACCCTGGAGAAGTCTAGTCAGACCACAGTTCAATTACCAATATAAACCACAAATTGCATTTTAGTAGATCTTAAAATTAATCATGAAATCTGGAGCCTTAAAGCATTATGAATGTATTTGTCATTATTCCTCTTTACTGAGGGACTAGAATTACTAGTCATCACAAATTCATCATCTCCTTCCCCATCTGTGGGCCCTGCTCCCTTCTCTCTCAAAAAGCCTCTCATCTATTGTAGAGTGCTAGAATGTGCAGCTCTCCATGTCCAGCGCCCACCCCCAACCTGCACCACTTTCTCACTCTCCTCTGTTGCTAGCTCTAAGCCAGTTCCTCCCCATCACCAGATCCCAATAGATGTCTCTTCTCTCACCCTGCCAGTTTGCAAACTAAGCAAGAACTGGCTGCAGATCATGTCAAGATTACTGGAAAGGGGAGCAGAGGAAATAGAACTAGGTTGACTCCTTCCAAGAGTCCTAATTTACCCTCTTCTTTGGGAGCTAAAAACAGCACTCCCTTCTCCTCAGACAACATTCCAACTGAGAGCCTAGGAAACTAGCCAGAAGCTAATGTGTTCGAAATTAAGGATGTTAAGAAGCATGTAATTAATTAATTGTGTAGTTGCCCAAAATATGTGGGACTGAGCCAGACTACCTGGCTTCTAGATTACTTTTATTGCAGAACTGCAGCAGGGGTAGCTCTGGGGACCCAGAGCCAACTGAGACTGAGCCATGCTGCTAGCCAGCCCTCTAAAAAACGTACTGTCGAGGGGGGATGCATGTAGTCAATAGCATTAACCAATAAGCTTTTGCTTATCGGTTAATCATTTAATCCTCTATGCTATTACATCCCTATTTGAAATATGATGAAGGGCAGTGACTCTGAATCTTTCCAGACTGCTGTACCTCTTGCAGGTATCTGATTTTTCTTCCATGCCTCAAAATGTGACCTCACTTAAAAACTACTTGCTTACAAAATCAGGCATAGAAATATAAGGATTCAGCATGCTTATTACTGGACAATGCCTTACTTTCTAATTTTGACCATATAATTATAAAATAAACTGGAATGTAAATACTGTACTTCCATTTCTGTGTATAGTATACAGAATAATATAAACGAGTCATTGTATGATATTTGGGTTTGTACTGACTTTGCTAGTGCTTTTTACGTAGCCTGTTGAGCTAGATGAGCTGATATGACCTCTGGAAGACCTCAGTGTATCCCCAGGGCTACATATATCCCGGGCTATCCTTAGAATTTATGAGGCCCTACATAGTAGTAGTAAATTGTTTCCCCTATGCCCAACAGCCACCCAGGGAGGGGAGAATGATGATGTTTTTATAGACGTGATTTTATAATTTTCAGCAACACACTTATGAAATATTTTAAAACAAAGGTCCTGTAGACTAACACAGTAAATTCAGAAACAGACAGCCTATACATGGGGTTGGCAAATGCTTGTTAAATGGCTTCATTACAGTTGAAAGGCTCTTTCACAGGTTCAGTGTGCAGCTAATAGCTCTGACAGGCTTTTTCACTTTTAAGTTAACTGGATTCTCTCTGGAGGAAACAGAGCCACAGAACAGGGATAGGAAGAGGTGAGTGGGTGGACATTAAGACCCAGTGGTGTCCCAAATTTTCAGGTGTTCTACAGAGCTGCATATTCTGCATATGGGTAAGGAGAGCTCTGCATGTATCCCTAGTTGAGTACTACTGATCTAGGGTGCTAAAAGTTACACTCTATGTACTATTCCAAATATGAATAATGAAATAGGAAGCTCTTATTGCAGGAATCTCAAGGGTTCAGAAGTCTGGTCTTATTTCAAAATAGAATATTCCTTTACTAGCAGCAGGTACTAGCATAAAAGACCTTTTATAAACTTTACCAAACACAACAGGGATGGTATAAACAGGACATTACCACCACTGGCCTGGGAGATTTTGGTTTTGGAGCGCCCACGCTGATTATTTTAGCATTTGTTTTTTCCATTTCATCTTCAATACTCAAGGAGATGAGATTTTTCTTTTCTTCTGAAGCAGATTTAGTTACATGAAAATTATTCGTACTTTTTGTTTCTTCAAGATCAAGAACACTTTCTTTCAGAGAAGCTTCGTTTCTTAAAATAAAGAAGGCTACAGTTAAACAGGCAATGATGCAGATAGCTGCTTCTTACCTGAAACATGTTCAGACAGCAATGTTTTAAAAGCAGGTATGGGCATTCAGCTTGGGGTATGACTCCACTTCATGCTGGAAGTGTAATTCCCAGCTTGGGATGATGTGCACGTACTAGCTTTGATTGAACTAGTGCGCTAAAATGGCAGTTTAAACACAGTGAATGGACTTGCTGCCCTGAATATTATCCTATCTCAGGCTCTAGGTACTTAGCCTCTCACCCCATCTGCACTGTTGTGGCTATGCTGCCATTTTTAGTGTACTGTGTTCATGGGCGAATGGTGCCTGCAGGGGAGAAGGTTCAGGGAGGGCCATTCAGTGGGACTGCTCCATTTAGCAATTAGTATTTTGGTGGGGGTATGTGCTGATCAAAGCCGGTGCTATCTGAGCTGGAAATTCTATCTCCAGCTCCAGGGCAGACAGTTTTTCCTGAAGATTTGGCTCATCATGAGCATTGCCTAATATCAGGCTGCAAAAAGGAGAAAGAAACAGGCTGTGTGGAAATGCACGGACAGAGTTTCAAAAAGAGCTCCATGCCCAGCATTCCCATTGTGATATGAATATCGGTGCTGAGCTCATTTGTGGCTAAAGGGTTCTTACCACAGCACTATCTAATAAACACAAGCCTTTTGTAGCCACCACCTGCTCCTATCTGTGACCTGATTGCACCATTGTCCTACCATGGGATATCACTGAGCCCTTCTGGGGGCACAGCTCAATGGGGTCCAAAGACTCCCACTCAAGCTCAGAGACATTGTATGTCATGCAACAAGGTCCACCATTACCTATAAGGTCCAGCAGGGTCTGGCACGACCTTCTGACCCCATTCTGACTCAAGCCATGAGCTGCAGAACTGTCATGCTAACTACCTCCATGATGGTATCGCATGGCCCACTACACACATTAAACATGGGCAGTGGAGGTGGGTCACCTGATCTAACTCCTTCTTTGCCTTCCTCTTTAATCATCAAAGGCTGCCCATCGTTCTGGCACATAAAGCAAAACCAGCTCCTCACTTCTGGGCTGTCCGGTCTCAATGGGGTCTAAGCTTGACAGTACACAGCAACCCTATGCAATAGTTGAGGAAAAGGGATGACTACCATAGCCAGGTGAAACTGCAGGGGCAACATAAGTAGGCAGAATGCAATCACTCCCAGGCTACGTCTAGACTACATCCCTTTTTCGGAAAAGGGATGTAAATTAGACGTATCGCAATTGCTAATGAAGCGGGGATTTAAATCTCCCCCACTTCATTAGCATAAAAATGGCTGCCGCTTTTTTTCCGCACAGAGCTTTGTCGGAAAAAAGCGCCAGTCTAGACGCTGATCTTGCGGAAAATAAAGCCTTTTATGAAAGATCCCTTATCCCTAAATTCAAAGCTCCGTGCGGAAAAAAAGCAGCAGCCATTTTTATGCTAATGAAGCGGGGGAGCTTTAAATCCCCGCTTCATTAGCAATTGCGATACGTCTAATTTACATCCCTTTTCCGAAAAAGGGATGTAGTCTTTTCCCAGGGTAATGGCTCTTTCTTTGCTAAAGTGACCTTTAGTGACCAGCAAGACTTGTCTTTTAAGCTTTACAATAAAGATGCACTTTAAGAAGCATAGTGCTCCTTAGCATCATTGCTAGTTCCACTTCCTTCATTATTCTAGGCACTCCTTGAAGTTCTCCACTCCTGCGACTGCCCAGACCTAACTTGCTTGTCTTATGAGATCTAACCAAGTAGTAAGGCCAGTTATTGACGACTGGGATGCCACACAGTGGGTCATTCAGAAAGAAATTCAACATAGATTTGCAGTAATATTTACAGTCTGTCAGCAATTACCTTTCTTTCAAACCATTTACACAGACTCTGATTGTGTTGTCTCTCTCTAGCTGTTGAGCAATGAATTTGCCAGCTTCCCCATAAATACTGTATTGCGCTATCTTGTCCCCTGAAAAGACAGTGAGTTTTTATACATGATATATAGATGTGCAAATAAGGGAGACAAAAGTTACTTCTCACTGGATGGTGTTGGAAAATATAATAGACATTGGGCTTTATAAAGTGCACAGGGGATCCTCAACAAACCACATCAGTGCGCTAAACTAACTGATCCTAGCCTATAGCTTTGCAGAGTGGGCATCTCCTGGCAGTTGGTGCTGCAGGAACAATACATCCAAAACGATTCCTTCTTCAGAACAAAGGATCCAAAATGACAGCAGAAGTGTGGCAGGTCATGTAGCATTCCCCATCTCAGGGTACACTGCACATTACTAAAATTCAGTTTTTATTTTATTTTATTTTATTTTATTTTATTTTATTTTATTTTATTAAAACTAAAAAATACTTGCCCCACAGAACATTTTCTAATGATGTTGATGCACAAACTGGAAATAGCTACATTTGAATTTTTAGATCTCAGGCTGATGTTGCCAGTCAAGCAGACAGAAAAATAAACATTTACATGTAAACGGAGCAGGTTTAATATGGAAGCATTAGAAACACAAGAAAAGTGAACCTCAGGATAGCATTTTTATAAAGTAACTTCTCAGAGGAGATGATATTTTAATGTCACATGACCATGACTAATGTAAGAAAAATAAATAAAGAAAAATGTAAATTGAAGAGATTATATGATAGGGAAACACTTAAATAAGTTAGAATAATGCACATTTAACAGCCCATTTAAGCAGGATGAGTCCTTGTACCCCACTCTCTCAGATAATTTCTCCAAGAAAAACTTTCCTTCTAATTCTAATGCATTGCAGTGGTATTGGTGAATCTCCAATTTTCTTTAACTGTAGCTACATAAGGCTTTCACTGATTCTTACCCTTTAATGCTGTTAGAAATGATTCTTCATTCTGGTTACTGGCATTTTTAGGAGGGCACCAATGAGAAATGTCCATATGGTCAAGAGTAGATGGTAAATGGGCTTGGCTGTCTTGCTGACAGAGGGCATCCAGCTTCAGAACATTTTCAACCTGGATATCGGAAAGTATTTGTACATATGAACATCAGATATTTGTAATGAGCCACCCTTACAACTGTAACCCTAACATGGAAACTTTTAAAGGATCTTCAAGGTAAATGGTATGTCAGAATCTTTAAATGATCCATGCATTTAAAGCATAAAACTTTAGAAACTGAACAACAACAACAAAAAGATTAGAAAATGTAGCGTTTGTTGTAAAATGACAGAGTTCAGACACTTAAATTATAAATAAGAACCCAGGAATTGCTGTACGGGATCATTGTGTAACCATTTATACAAAGCTCATGACAGAATCTGACTGCCCAATATAAAGCAAGTATGCACACAATGTGGGTCTCAGTTAAGTTTTGTAGATTTCACATTTTAGGGCCAGGTGTTAGGCTCAGAAATGTGAGCAAACACTGCCTACCTAACAAAACAATCCACAATATTACATGTTTACGTGGGCATAGTATAATGGTGGCTATTAAAAAGTCATTTTTTGCCAATAGATACTGCAGATTACCACTGATATTAGTCTTTTAATTATAAGGATAAGGTGTGGCAGCTTAGATACCACTGTTATAGCTGTTAGCGTAATGTTACCGTATTCTTTAACTATGTGCTGATGCACATCTGCAGTTGGGATGTGGCCTTCATCCTGAAGGAAAATCCTTGCATATATCAGAGTTCTGAGAGCAGGCACTGGTTGTTATGACTCAGCAGGGTAAGAAAAAGATCTGTCTATGCCAATCAGAATCTGCTTAGCCACAAAGGGTTATAACTATGTTAAATAACAAAGCAAAACTCCACATGTTCCCCTTTTACCTCTTCTCCCCTGCCATGTTCCACACCTCCTTCCCTTTTCTTTCATGTTGGCTCATCCCCTCCTAACTAAACCCTGCCACCCAAAATGGCGAATGTCTCAGTTATCGCCATCTGTTGGTTCATATTCCAGCTTGTGTGTTTTGCCCCTTTTCCCCACCCTCTGTCTGTCTATAAGCATCTCAGAGAAGGACCCTATAAATAAGCAACATGCACAAGAAAGCCCCATTCTTGGTTGGCCCTTCAGCACTGCTGTAATAAACATGATTAATAATAAAAGCTATAACTGTTCATTACAAGAAATAGAAGAAATTTGTTGTAGTTCACAGTAGGAAGAAGACTGATTTTTTCCACTTGTAATTTGTTCCACTGGCATATTTTTGGCTGTCTGATCCACCTTAACATTTTTCCCTTTGATGTATGCAGCTTGTGTTATATTAATGTGGTTTGCCTGCATGAGAAGCATCTATTCCAGGAATGTCTGTGCCAACTAGCCACTCGGTCACATGTTCGTTTATTGTGTCAAGTTCCATTCCAGCAAAGTATTTTTAAGCACTGGTCTCTTCCCTGAGTTTACAGTTGATAGTTATACTATGAACATGAAGCTCAGAACTTTCCCCATTATTGTCTCATCTTATAATGATTTTATTTTTCCATTTATTCTAAATGACATCAAATTTGGTATGCTAAATTATACAAAAAAATGTTTAATTTTTGCAAAAGGGAACATAGCCATGGACCAACAGATGTTGAAGAAGTTTGAAAAAATGTATGTTTTGCTAGAAAAAAATTGTGGTTAGTATTTTTTTAAGAGAAAAGAACTCTCTCATTTTCATGGATATTCAGATTACAACCAGAAAAGGAATTCTGCCCCAAACAGAGATCCTCTCTTTCCAGACCCTAAAAAGACACTGTAAAACATCCCTGAAGAAATTTGTATCAATTTTAAAGCATTTGTAAATCTGGTTAGAGTTAAGATACTATGGAGTGTATTAATTAGTAGTTTTGGGTTAAGCTGAGAGTGGAATTTACCTCTGTCTTCCATTTTGGTCTTCTGTGAACTTTTGTTCTAAGATTAACAGGTTTTTCTTTTTGGTTTAGTTTTAATGAAATAAAACCTTCTTTTAACATGTGGAGATTGTCTATAAAAAGGATACATATGAAAACAGGAATAATTTGATGAGATTATTATAGTGCAGTATTTTAAATTAATAGGTTTCATTAGAGGTGGATTAATCATTAAAATAAGCAGACACATCAATCAAGGAAACTGCTGAAGGGACAGTGATTGCATATAATGGTTTGCTCCATTGCTTATGTTTGCAACCATGTAGCAGGTTTACCCTGAAATGCTATTTTTTTAAACAGAACCATTCTTACTCATCCACATGTAGCACTCCCTGCACCTGTAGTTATATCAGCACATTCTGAGATTCCTAAAGCCAGGGGGGCCAACTGTTTCTGCAGGCCCCTGGGCAAGGTGGGAGTAGGGGCTTTGTGCCTCAAAGGGGGCAGGGCCTCAGGCAGAAGGGGCAGGGCAGCCATCCATCATTGCTGCCTGGAGCAAGGCATTGGGCTTCCTACCTCAGCCCTCAAAGCTGTTTAGAGCATGTGGACTGGTGCTCTGGTGGCAATTTAAAGAGCCAGAGCTCGGGCCACCACCACTGTCACAGTAGGGCCCCTTTGAATCGCCAGGCTGTGGGTCAACTGCCCTCTTTGTGCCCCCTTTGTCAGAAGGCCTGCCTGGAACACATATCTAACCATGCCCAGCAGTCTCCAGAAGCAAGAGCTTTTTGGTCATTTCCTAGCACAAGACACTGTACTGCAGGACAGGTTAGGAGAACTAGCTGAGCCAGTACTGCTGCAACATTTGTGGTTTCCTTTTCACAATGTACTGGTACAACCCTATCTGAGCTGAAGATGTTCTCCCACATGTACAGTCATCACTTTTATCTGAGATGGCTGTTGCACGTAGATGCAAGGACCTGCACAAGTACTGTAAGCTCAACATATCCAAACAAATTGTTTCTTGCAACCAGCCATTTTCTTTTGCGATGGCCTCACTGTAAGAGAACATGCATTTTTTCCATCAAGTTAACTAACTATCTCGATGTAAAAACACACCTTTTTGGCTAGTGAAGACCTCGTTTAGTGTAGACAGGCTGCAATAGTACTCACGCGGGGTGGGCAATAAAAAATTGGCAGCCCACACAGTTAGTCCCTGGTGGGCTGCTGATATATTTACCTGCGTCTCCACAGGTATCGGATGATCGCAGCTCTGGTTGGCCACAAATCACTGTTTGCGGCCAACGTGAGTGGCAGGAAGCTTTGGGGACCAGGACGCCACTTCCCACTGCTCGTATTAGCTATGAATGGTGATTCGTGGCCAACCAGAGCAGCAATCCTCCGATATCTGCAGAGGCACCGGTAAACATGGAGGTGGTCGCCTTCCAGGGACTAGCCTTGTGGGCCAGAATTTGCCCACCCCTGCCATGCTTTTAGAAATGTGCCATGGAATGTCAATACTTTGTGTACAACGTTTTACACAATAGCTAAACAACGTAAAAGAACTTGTATGTCAGAATTAGCAGTAGCCAAGGGTTACATAAAGAAGTACCTTTCTGATTACATGCTTTAGCTTGCAAGACATCTGGAGCACTAAATGGCCTTGCAGTTAGTTTTCCAGAGTGACTCTTTCTAGCTGCCAGTCTTGGCACCACGGATTTAAGCCTGAAAGGACAAAAATCAAAGTTGTACATTTTATAGCCATTCATGACCAACAACTGACTAAAAAAAAGTGAAACAGGTTGGAAAGGGTGACATAAGTGTGCAACTTTGGCTGATATTGCAAAATATAGGTTGTCTCCTCAACTGATGAGACATAATGGAATTAACAAAATTTAGCACTTACGAGTGGCAGCTCTAGGTCCAAAACGTTAGGCTGGGCTCTATCATTTTGTGTATTTGTTCTGGAGGTTAATCCTGAAAGATGCTGAGCATTTGAACTATAACTGAAATTAATGGGAACAGAAGGCGCCCAGTACAAGCCCTAGTACTTTTGAAATTGCTCCCATGGCAGTCTAACACAATTCTGCTACTTTAGAGCATCCTATTCTAATATGCACTATACAGACTGTAGCAGCTGCCCCACGAGTCTTGAATCTGGAAGAGAATTTCCATTAAATTAATCTTTGTCAATGGTGCTGAGAACTGGGAGGACATTAAAATGATTTCACTTAATGTTATATTTCAGTGGCAGAAGCAATGGTCAGAAGCACAATGCCTCCAAATTTGAGAATGTTCAAAGTACAGATTGGATTTTTCACTGCCCCTCTCTGCCAATTAGCAGGGAATATAAACATAAACATTATGAATGGCTATAGTGGGTCAGTCCAAGGGTCCATCTTGCCCAGTATCCTGTCATTGACAGTGGCCAATGCCACATGCTCCAGAGGGAATGAACAGAACAGAGTTATTTTGACTGGTCTTTCATTTGTCCAGTTCTAGCTTCTGGCAGTCAAATATTTAGGGACACCCAAAGAATGGGGATGCTTCTCAAACCATTGGACTAATAGCCTTGGATGGATCTATCCTCCATGAATTTATCTAATTCTTTTTGAACCAAGCTATAGTTCACAAGATCCCTTGGAAGTAAGTTCCACAGGTTGACCGTGAACTGCTTCCTTTGTTTTAAACCTGCTGCCTATTAATTTAATCCCCCAGCTGATTTATCATGTGAAGTAGTAAATAACACTTCCCTGTTCACTTTCTCCACACCACTGATGATTTTATAGACTTCTGTTATAACCTCCTTTAGTCAAACCTTTGCTAACCTGTACAGTCCCTGTACACTCTTTTTAATCACTCCTTGTACAGAAGCTCTTGCATATCCCTAATCATTTTTGTTGCTCTTCTCTGAATATTTTTTTTAGATGAGGCAACAAAAATTGCATGCAGTATTCAAGGTGTGGATGTACCATGCATTTTATACAGCAGCATTGTATTTTCTGTTTTTATTTTATCTATCCCTTTACTAATTGTTCCTAACTTTGGGTATGTCTATACTACAGCACTAATTCGAACTAATTTAATTCAAATCAGTTAATTCGAACTAAGCTAATTCGAATTAGTGCATCTAGACCTAAAAACTAATTCAAATTAGCGTTTTGCTAATTCGAACTAGCATGTCCATATTGAGTGGACCCTGAACCGAAGTTAAGGCAGGGCATCAGGTTAAGACTTAGAGTGTGGAGCTGCTGCCTCAGGTTAGCCGAGGGCTGTGCTTAAAGGGACCCGACCCCCACCCCAGACAGACAGTTCTCAGGGTTCCCCGCTTGCTTGTCTACCTCGATGAGGGACAGCAAGCAGTCCTGTCTTGGAGTGCCCTGAGTGCCCACACTCAGCACATCACAGCACTCGATCATCAGCCTGGCTGCACTTTCCGCAGGCTGCCATCCGGTGGGGGTGGGGGGTTAATTGGGGGGCTGTCAGGATTCAGGAAGCCCTGCAAGAGAGCTTCCACCCCGAGGAGCCTGCAGAGCCACCCCAGTCCTCCCCATCGGGGGCTCGTGACCCATTCCTCCCTCATCTCCTTCCACTTACCCCTCCCTAGCCCCCCTTCCTGATGTAAAAAATAATGGACATGTGTGTTCAAAAATAGAAACTCTCTTTATTTAACAAAACTTGGGGGGGGGGAGATTAACCTCTGGGGAGACTGGGAAAAGGAGGTGGAAGACGGGAAGAGAGGGTGGGAGAGGGGAGGGGGAAACCTGGGAGGAGGGAGCTGGAAGGGGGAAGCCAGGGGAAGAAGGAGGAGGGGAAGTATAAAACTATGGTACGCCATATCTTCAGTACTGTGTACAGATGTGGTCTCCTCACCTCGAAAAAGATGTTTTGGCCTTGGAAAGGATTCAGAAAAGGGCAACTAAAATGATTAGGGGTTTGGAACAGGTTCCATATGAAGAGAGGCTAAAGAGACTGGGATTTTTCAGCTTAGAAAAGAGGAGACGGAAGGGTGATATGATAGAGGTATATAAAATCATGAGTGGTGTGGAGAGGGTGCATAAAGAAAAGTTCTTCATTAGTTCCCATAATATAAGGACTACAGGACACCAAATGAAATGAATGGGTAGCAGGTTTCAAACTAATAAAAGAAAGTTCTTCTTCACAAAGCAAATAGTCAACCTGTGGAACTCCTTGCCGCAGGACGCTGTGAAGGCTAGAACTATAACAGAGTTTAAAGAGAAGTTAGATAAAGTCATGAAGGTTGGGTCCATAGACTATTAGCCAGGAGGTAGGAACGGTGTCCCTGGCCTCTGTTTGTGGAAGGCTGGAGATGGATGGCACGAGACAAATGGCTTGGTCATTGTCTTCAGTCCATCCCCTCCAGGGTATCTAGTGTGGGCCGCTGTCAGCAGACAGGCTACTGGGCTAGATGGACCTTTGGTCTGACCCCGTATGGCCGGTCTTATGTTTTTTTGTTTTCACCTGATCAGGGTTGGGGGTCTCACTGGACCAACTTGATTTTCATGCAAACCTGCTCCTGGGTTCGTATGTGGCCTTTGGTGGCCAGGCTGGCAGCTATCCTGCCCTAGACGGCCACTTTCCTTTGCCTACTGCGGAGATTGTGGACGTTGGAGGCCTCCCCCCAAACCTGAATGAGGTCCATGATCTCTGCACTAGACCAGGCGGGTGCCTGCCTTTTGCGGCCCCGGGCAGGCTCCTGGGAGCTGCCAGCTTGGTCCTGGGAAGAGGCGGAGGGCTGGGTGGCTGGCTCGTGCCGTGCCAGGAGCAGGGTCTGCTGGATGGGTGCTGTCAGGCTTGCATCTGGCATGGGCACCGGAGCCAGACCGTGGCCCTTTAAGGGCTCCAGGGCCATGAGGGGGGCAGAAAAGTTTCCCTGGCTTGGCCCAGAGTGGCCACCAGGGCAAGCTGGGGAGGGCTAGCCTCCAACTAGTTCGAATTAAGTGGCTACACAGCCCTTAATTCGAACTACTTAATTCGAACTAGGCGTTAGTCCTCGTAGAATGAGGTTTACCTAGTTTGAATTAAGCGCGCCGCTAGTTCGAATTAAGTTCGAACTAGCGGTTTGCATGTGTAGTGCCTATGAAAGTTAATTCGAACTAATGGCTGTTAGTTCAATTAACTTTGTAGTGTAGACATACCCTTTGTTAGCTTATTTATTTGGACTGTGTCTTGAAATATTTTCAGAGATCTAGCCACAATCACCCCAAGATCTTTCTTGAGTGGTAATAGCTAATTTAGACCTCATCATTTTGTGTGTATAGTTGAAAATATGTTTTCCAGTGTGTGTTACAGTACTCTGGATTTATCAGTATTGAATTGTATCTACCATTTTATCATCGAGTCACCCAGTTCAGTGAAGTTAGGTCTACAGTCTGTAATTGCCAGAATCACCTCTGGAGCTTTTTAAAAAACCAGATGTTATATTAGCTACTGTCCAGTTATCGGGTTCAATGGTTGATTTAAGAGATAAGTTACACACCACAGCTAACAGTTCTGCAATTTCTTATCTGAATCCTTTTATTGTACGTTTTTCCTAATGATAACGCCTTTGACATGAACAATTACTATTTAAAATGGTAAATCATACAAACAAGATAGTTGTAACAACTTACATTTAATTGTGCTGAGAATAAACTGATGTATAAGATGAATAGGAATAGTATTTTTACAATATTTATAACCTCTCTAACCTCTGGGTTGGAAGCCAAACTAAAAATAACACAAAACCACACACATACACAAAAATAAAGGTCACCTTATCTGCTGATGTCTGAAGAACTGTTCATCTTCTGAAAATTGCTGAGCAGGTTTAGACCTGGAAATATTTGTTGTTCTAGCACTTGGTATCTCATAATCCTCCTTAAATTCAAATGTCAATGGAGTTGTCACAAATGGTTTCAACTGCAATTTCCCAAGACCCGGGCTCTGCAACAAAATACAATATATATGGCCTTAATGGGTCAATGTGTTTGTGCAATATGTTTGTTTCTATGATGTGAAATATTACTAACTTTTGGATGCATCTGCACTGTACCCTTAGCTTGAAATAAGCTAAGAAATTTGAGCTATGCAAATTTCATAGCTTATTTTGAATTAATTTAGAAAAAGAACGCTATTCCAAAACATCCCTTTATCCTCATGGAATAAAGTTTACAGGGACATTGGAATAGTGCACCTGTTATTTTGAAAGCTATTTCAAAATAATGGGCGTGCTGTCAAGTTGCAGAAAATGTTATTTTGGGATACCGGAAGTATCCTGAAATAGCGCCGCTGTGTAGATGCACCCAAGTTTGTGACCCACCAGCTATTGTTATCGCTTCCTGCAATTAAGTAACTGAATTTAAAGCCAACATGAGTCAAAGCAGTAAAACCTGGATTATTTTATTAATTTATCTTTGTCTCAGAAGGCAAGTGGATCTGCTAATATGAAACTACCATTTGACATAATCACTCGGAGATTAAATGCACTTTAAAATGTCTTTTGCATTTAACTACAATGCAATCCAGTTGTTGACAGAGATTACTGCTATATATTGGTTACCCTAACTTTTGCTACAGAAAATCATTTTGCTAGAATTCTGGCAAAGAACATATTATGAAGCCAGACAATTTGGTGAGGCAAAGTACATGACAAAAGAGAGGGGGAGTTGGTGTGCAAATACTAGTATTGTGGTAGATGTGTTAACAGGTGCTCTGTGGTCAAATGCTCCATTGGCTTTTTGTCACTGGCCCCTCTGAGCCAGTGGGGCACCCCGCAAGGCAAGCATGCCTTAATTTTTACAGCAGTAAACGGATATGTAACTCAAGATGGCCAGCGGCCACCTAGGTTTTAAATTTCATGATATAAAAGTGCCCTTAACTAGTTCAACCAAGAATTTCACTCAGTGCCGGGCTGGCCCCTGGGAGTGGGCAGGTCAGTTCAGAAAAATAAGCAAAAGTCAGCTCCTAAAAACAAGCTTAACCCACTGCTACTTTATGAAAGAGATAAAAATAAACCCGAACTACTCCTATGGTTATATTATTAATGCATCAAAACTTAGCACCTGCTGCACGTTCTCATCTTTAAAGTTCATGGCAGTGTCATGTCCCAAATTATGGATCTAACCCCAAGGATTGGATGCTGTGAGATTTTCACACTGTTTGGCTTTTTTAAGGCAGCCTCCCATGTACTTTGTATCCCTCAGCTTGTTCCCAGTCACAGTCGCACCACACAGCTGCCTGTGGCACAGACATCTTGCTTGTAGCCTGAGCCCCACACGATCCCTTTCACACAGGTCAGTTGGAGACTTGTGAAGCTGCCATGGACAAGAATGGGAGGGCTGGTGCCCATAGGAAGTAAGGGAAGGTATGTTGGGGGGGGGGCTACCTGGCACGTGTGTGGCGGTGGCAAGGGTTATGGGCTACTTCTCCTTGGCAGCACTCTGCAAATCCAAATCCACATTAATTTTTTTAATAAAGAGTATGCAGATTCAGTCACATGATTGGCCTCTTGCGGCCGTATGGTCTGAAAAGCAGCCATTGGCATGGGATGCATGTGAGGTTATGCCAGTGGGCAGGAGGTTCTTTTCAAAATGATCACTTCTCACTGATCCCTGCAGCCTACAGCTTCAAAACATCACACCTGCTGGGTCCTCTCAAAGCTTCTAGCTCCTGGAGGGCTAATTTTCATTGGTTCTGCTTGCTGCTGATCCGAGGTGGCCTCTCTCACTATTTCCCACCAAAAGGTGCCTTATTTGGACAGTGTACACCAATGGCCAGGCCTCCAGCAGGGGGTGCCAAATGCTTGATACATCCCACCACACTTCTAATGCTCTTTTCTCATCTGTTAGATGACCTCCTCACTTTATCAGTATTCCTTTGTTATCTGGAATAATCATCAGTCAGACACAAATCAGTTCCATCTGTCTCATCCATCTATCTTTTATATTAATTATATGGTGCAAATCACAGTAGTGAATAGGTGCTGGCATAACTCAATTAACAGTTCTTTCAAAGCTGACTACAGGTGTGTCTATCCTTCATATGATTTTGATTTGCTCCATACTTACTTCAATTTTTCCATGTCTGGCCAGTCTTTTGCGTGAATATTGTTCCAGAGCATCAAGTTTTCCTAAGAGTCTCTGGGTCATTTTTCCTAAACAAACTTCCTAAAATACGATATAAGAAAATAAACTAATTATGATAATAAAACAATGATTTTAGAAAAATGGTTACTTTCATGCTATAAACTTTTAAAACCTCTTTGTGGTGCTTCGGGAACTTTGTGGCAATGTAATGGAGAACAATCCATGGATAATAATGCTGTCCTATCACTTTGTTAAGGGTCATGTTATCCCCTAGCACAGAGGTATGCAATCATTTTTGATGGGGGAGCCATTCCAAGAATTTGGTAAATGGTCAAAGGCTGAACTCTTCTATGATATTAATGAAGGAGGTACAGAGTCTGGAATAAAGGTTGGGTGCAGAGTGGGAGTTGGAGTCTGGAAGGGAGTTTGGGTGCAGGAGAAGATTCTGACCTGGAAGAGGGCATGCAAGGTCTGGGCGGTGGTTGTGACCTGGGGCAGGAGTGTAGGAGTTTTCCAGCCAATGGGAGCTGGGAAATTGTGCTGGGACTGTGGGCAAAGCCCACTCTTAAGGGCGTGCAGCACACAGAGAGCATGCAGGGAGGGGCTCAGTGGGCAGGGAGCCTTCCCGCTGGGCTGTAGGATGGTGGTAGGCCAGATTCAGAGGTTTGTTGTGCCAGATCTGGCCCATGGGCCATAATTCACATGCTCCTGCCCGTGCCCTAGCAGGAAACACCTAGGGTGCATCTAGACTGGCAAGATTTTGTGCAAAAGCATGTGCTTTTGCGCAAAATCTTGCCACCTATCTACACTAGCCGCAAGTATTTGCGCAAGAACACTGACTTTGTACTGTCCAAAATCAGTGGTTCCTGCACAAATATTCTGAGGCTCCCGCTCAGGGATAAGCCCTCTTGCACAAGTATTCTTGAGCAAGAGGGCAAGTGTAGACAGCCAAGTTAATTTCTTGCGCAAGAAAGCCCGATGGCTAAAAAGACCATCGGAGCTTTCTTGCACAAGAGAGCGTCTACACTGGCACGGATGCTTTTGTGCAAAAGCAAATCTTTTGCGCAAAGGCACATGCCAGTATAGACGCTCTCTTGCGCAAATACTTTTAACGGAAAATTTTTTCCGTTAAAAGTATTTGCGCAAAATCATGCCAGTCTAGATGCAGCCCTAGGGTGAAGTTATGCAGCGTATGAGCTGTATTAGCTCCTGATTGGGTTTCCAATGTGAAATCTGCAGGGGAGGGAGTGGTAAATAGCCAAAGACATTAAAGGCGAGGTGCAAAGAGGAAAAGGGAGTGTAGGGGATATTTTCCTTTTAAAAAATGTCATGATGTATGAAGATTATTTCCTGCTTGCTATTCTCAGAAATACTGGCAATATATTTTTGTCTCTCCTGCTTTTGCTGGAAGTCTCCTTGGAGGTCCACAATGCTGCAAGACATGGAACTCTTAGTCTTTCAGTAAAAGAGAGGGAATGCTGATTCCTTAACAAAGAGGTCTTTTCTCCCACTGGTGTCCCTGCTCTTTGTTATATACATATTAACAAAAAACAAAACCAGACTTTTAAACACCCTCACACTCTCAAATGCTAAGGTATCAATTCTACAAGTTCTGGTGATGTCATTGTCCTACTAGTTTCTCCAGTAGTCCATAGGGTCTTCCAGAAAAGACCGAATAGACAATGTCTGAATGTGTAATGTAAAGATAAGCAGAAGCTGAAAAACAAAGTATTTTAAAACCAGGTATTTTTCATACATCAAAACCCAACAAGAAAAAGGGCACAAACAACATTTTCTTAGCGTGTCATTTTCTGCATAGGAACATAGAGTTTGCCATATTGGATCTGATTCAGGTCTATTTAACCCAACCGCCTGTTTCTGAGGCTAAATCTGCACTGCCACTTTTCTTACACTGCAGCTTTCTGGCTAGTGAAAGAACACACGTCCCCCCGAGTGCAGTGAGTTCCAGTGCTGTAAAGCACCAGTGTAAATGGGAGAGCTCTGTCCTGTCTTCCAGTGCTGTAAAGCACCAGTGTAAATGAGAGAGCTCTGTCCTGTCCAGCACTCTTACTGGCCACACTTTCACTTTAAAGGCCTGTGCAGCTGCACTTTAATGTTAGAAGCATAGGCAAAGCCTGAGTGTATCCAATGTTAAATGTTTCCAAGGAAGGCAAAGAGCCTCCTACTCTCCCTGTCTGACTGCAGTGCTGGGTTTGCTGTCTGTGAAGGGGAGTGATGGAGTGTGAATTCCTTCCTGACTTCCATGGTGGGAGGGGGGGGGAAGGGTCAATTTATGCTTTGCGTCCAGGATCACTCCTTCTCAAAGCTCATCCTGCTGTGGTCGAGCCCGACTTTGCCAGCCCACCCTGGCTTCTGCAGTAGCTGACATACAGTTGCAGTCTGGCTTTGCTGATGGAAAGAGAAAACTGCAAAGACTCACAACAGCCCAGATGATGAGGTACGGCTGGGCCCCGCTGCGGCTCCAGGAGCTGCAGATTTCCACAGGCCTTCTGTGTGCAGTGTGGTTAGCAAGTGTCCTCCGAAGGTTTCATCCAGGTTCACACTCTCGTGTTGTGTAACCGCCCGCCCTGCACTTGTACTACAACATGCTGCAGCAGCGAAGCCCAAGTTCAGTGAGACAAATTGAATGAGGCTTCCATGGTGAGAAGCTTCATGAGACAGGGACAGGGGAAAAGAAGGGTTATTTATGGGGCTCTGGGGGATGGAAGGGGTCAGGGAAGGGAAGGGAGAGATGCTCCTTGACCAATAGTAGAATTTACAGGAGGCCTGTATGACAATAATAATAAAATATTGTTTAGTTGATAGATTGCAATTCACATGCTTAAAGCACTTTACAGAGATTAATCCTCAGAAGTTACTGTTGTCTTCATACAACCAATGGTGGAACCAAGATAGAAAGGTTAGATGAGTTGCCCAAGGCTACACAAAGAAGCACTGGCAGAGCAGTGAATAGACCACAGGCCTCCAGGATTCTCCATGCACTGACCACTAGGCAACATGGACTGATAGCACAATAAATGGTTGCGGCCTCATTTTCAGATGGAATGAACATGTACCTCTATAAATCAGGCTTAGTGTCTCTGAATTTTTGAACACACAGTACCCAGCTTGCAACAGCAACAGCAAAAGAGCCACAAGGGCTAAGGGTTTCAAAATGGCAACATTTGATCCCTCTTGTAGTATGAAGAGAAATATGATCAGTTTAACATACCCATCCCCATGCACAAATTTTAAAACAATGAGACTCTGGAGAATTGCTCCAGCATGATGAAGCAATTCTTGTTCTGAGGGAAGCAATAGCTTGTCATGACCTGAGCATTGCCAAGCATGTAGTTCAAGTACCTTGAAATTCTTTCCAAGGTAAGCATGTTCTTAAGTACTTTCCTGAAGGGGGGCTGAGGCTGAAGTAGTACAGACATATGCCATGGTGCAGCCTCAGCTCTGAACTGTGGCAACAGCTGAAAAGTTACGTCTTTTGTGTTATACAAAACGCCTGCCAATGAGAGGAGAGAGAAAGAGAGACAAGGATAGAGAGAGCCAGCACATTGTACCAAACATATCCAAGCTCCATAGAAACCTTTGTGTGTGTATCTACAGCAACTTAGAAAAGTCAACTGTATATTCATCTACATCTCCAGTTGAGACAATGAGATAATATACTTTAAGCAACAGTAAAAACAGACATGGTATGAAGCATATATATTGAATGGGGTAGCACAATTTAAAAACATAACATTTGGGGGTTTTGTAGTCTGCAGTTAAAAGTCCAACCTTAGATTACCAGCTCCAAAAGAGGTTAGAAAAAAAATCCAGTGATTGTTCTGATTTTTTGAGTTTATTGTGTGCACTTCTGTAACCTGCTTCATTGACTTCTCTGTATGGTTAGATAGTGAGTTGGTTCCCCCTGTCTGTGTAAGTCTTTTACACTGGAATAAGTTAGAGTAAACTTATTTTTAAACTGGAAAATGTGATTGTAAAACCAGAAGTGTCTGGATGAATTAACGACAATCATAGTGTCTGAAATCTCTAATCCATTGTTTTAAAAAAATCTGACGGTATTCCAGTTAATCATACACCTTTCAAACAACAGCCTTGCCAGTAGGCACAATGAGGTCACATGCACACCTGTATCCTGTTATTCTAGAGCCACAGGGTACAATCAAAAAACATGTTGAGGCTGACAGTGTGTGTTCACTATGAATGCAGCTTAACTGGTGCAGAGCCAGGTTTAACCTGCATGTACAGATAGCTGTTCTCTTCTGAGCGGCTGCTGAATACTGTTTACCCATGTCTGCATTTTCAGTTAAAATCTGTTCAGTACTGGTCAAATGACACTCATTGTCAGCTATGGGATATCAGCAAAGGGAAGAGCAGGCTAATCTATTCCAGTGGGCACAGGGCAATCACACATATCACACCTGGCATCTTCTATCCAAGAAACTCAACACACTTTTACACAGGGGCGGATGATAATTTTGCGGGGCCTAGGGCAGCGCTGCGGGGCCCAGGGCAGCACAATTTCGCGCAAGCGCCTCGGCAGCAGCCGACCAGAAGTAGTTTTGCGCATGCACCTCAGCAGCAGCCAACCGGAAGCAGAGTTTCACAAATGCACCTCGGCAGCAGCCGACTGGACGTAGCGTTTCATGCATGCCCCTTGGCAGCAGCTGACTGGAAGTAGCATTTCATGCATGCGCCTCGGCAGCAGCCGACCGGAAGTAGCATGCACGGGGCATGTGCGCGGGGCCTATTGAAGCGCGGGGCCTGGGGCAGCCGCCCCACTCGCCCTGCCCTACATCCGCCGCTGCTTTTACAGATCTTGAGAGTGCTTCACAACATGCCTAGCAGGGCAGGTATTTACCCCTTTTACAGAAAGTGAAACTGAACTACTGCTCCTCCTAATCTCTCCTATCCTTCCTTTCCCTGTTTCTCCCCCTCCTGCACAAGGGTGCTGGAGCAATTTTTAGGGTGGAGGGCCAATAACAGAAACCACCTATCTGGTGTTTGTTACTATCCTCAGTACCCGTAGTTCCAGCACCCTGCTGCTTCTCCCCTCTTGTCTTCCCATCACTTCTTCACTCCTGTGGCCACACACTGTTTCCCCACAAATCTGCCTTCCCCCTCCTCGACACCTGAGTCCTGTTGCTTCTCTTCGTGTCTAACCCCAAGGCTGTTGTCTCTCCACCGATTCTTGTTGCTTCTCTGGGCATCTCAGGGACTCCCCTGACTGTGTTGTTCCACACAGTCTCCACTTCTTCTACCTCCCCTGCAGTTCCCTTCTCTTGCTGTGGCACTTACCAGAAAAGATCTTCAGGGCCCCCTAGCCCACCTGCAGAGCTGCTCTGAGCTCCCATGGTCTGCTCCAGACAGACAGCGTGCACATGGTGTGGAGATGCAGCTCACTCATTTGGCCTCTGCACTCCTTTCCCCATTCTGCCATGGCCTTTTGTTACTGTGTTGCTCAGCAATAGCTTCCTCAGCTCATTGGGCTGGGTTTGCTTATCGTATGTTGGCTACCGTCCGGCACCACCAGGCCTATGTGTTCTGTTCCCAGGTTCAATCATTTGAATTCCGGCTCTGCCCAAAGGGAGTGAACTGTACACAACCCCACCCAGCCTGGAGAAGGGGATATTCTGCTTTTTACAGAAGTGCCTACGCTGGACATGCAGGACCTGATTCTCTTCTGGTTTATGCTGGTGTAAATCTAGAGGAACTGCCAAGATTTGCACTTGTCCACCAGAGAGAAAAACAGATCTGTCCTTTCCTATGTGATTTGCTCCCATGTTATGAGGTGAGAGAGACAGGAAAGGAACAATTATGGCCTGAACCAGATAGGAGCTCAAATTCTATTAAAGGGTTATATTTAAACCATAGCAAAGACTTGAGTTAAGTTTATCTTAAACATGGGTGCAGCCTGTTTTATAAGAGCGCATTCACCCTACAAATATAGCCGCCTTGGGGGACCCATTATAGAGATCTCTACATGGTTGCATTTGTGAGCTAGAGAGAAAACCCTAACACAATTTGGCCAGCCTGGGTGTTCAAAGAGAAAGCACGTTAAAATTATGCTTGCAGGCCATGTGGTTCCTACAGAATTTGCTCCTGTCCATGCTCAAGAGGAGCTGAAGAGCAGTTGTACTTCTTCATCCCACCCTCCCAGCTCCCCACTTACGTATTCTCAGCACTAGAATGATGAGACAGAAGCAGAGGCTTCTCTTGACTGTGGTTCGGAGAGCAGCCCTGGTTAAAGTCTCTCCCATAATCTCCGTATCCCAGAATCCTTTGTCCCATTTTATGACAACAGGGCATTAGCGACACAACTCAGCATGATATTTATAAAAGCATTTGGCAATTGTAAAGTGCTATACTGCTGACTGCTTAACCCTCACACTTGCCTTCTCACAGGGATGTTAAGTATTCTACACACTCCATGGCCATCTAGAATTATACAGATGTCACAATGCTATACTCTAGCCACACAAAGGCTAAAAACACAGATCTTTTTGCTATAAGAGCCCTTACTGCTAGAGCTCAGGGAGAATTGCTTTTATTTTGAAGGCCAGGCGATGATATTTGCTCAGTTCTGAATCCATCCAGCAGAGGGAAGTGATAGCCATTCACAACTCACTTTGACTTCTTCTAGACTGCAGGCTTCTTTTGGAAGGAGGCTTTTTTGGAAGAGATCGTCCACACACAAAAGCGCATCAGACAGGAGCTCAAGATTGATTGGACGCTCTCTCGCATAAAAGGCCACCCAGAACCACTTCAGCCAGGGCTGTAGGTCACCAGTTGCTTCTGAGTGCTGGTGCCGAAGCCTTATAGAGACATGCATTTAAAGGGACCCCTGCCCCCCCTCCGGACAGCCGTTTCTCTGCTTCTGCTGCCTGCTTGCTACCTCTTCAAGGGACAGCGAAACTCTCCCAGTGCCTGCTGTGGTTGCCCTGTTCTTTTTTGGATGCCACAGCTTTGTTCTCTGTGCCATGGGCCAGAGCTGCCCAAGGCCTCTCCAATAGGGGCCTCTGGCTTGCTGCTCTATTCCTTCCCCACTACAGCCCCTCCCTTTGCCCCTTCCCTGACCTCTCAATAAAAACACTTGTTTGATTTTGAACAAAACGAAGTTTGTATTTATATTATATTAATAAAGGTGTGCAGAAGGAGGGGGCTCAGGGCTGGGAGGGAAGAGGGGGAGTGGCTCGATGTGCCACTGCAGGTGTGGGGACCTCGTCGGAGTTGGGGTTGGGTGGGTCCAGGGACCACAGGGGAGTGAACAGGAAGGGGGCTGGGATAGCAGGGGAAGGGGGCATAGGCATCACTTGGGGTGGAGGACATAGCATTGCTAGGAAAGGGGGAATGGGCATCATTTGGGGAAGGAGCGGAGGCATAGCAGGGGGGCAGGCAGAGGGAAAATGGGCATAGCAGGGGAGCCGGAGGGTGGAAGCCAGGAGCAGCAGCATCAGGTGGATGTGCCATCATGCACGACATGACAGCACACATGTTGTCATACCACTGCATCAGCTGGTCCCATATGCGGTTCTACCACTCCAAGTCCTCGCAGACCTTGTGCATTAGGGCCTGCTGCATGTCGCGCAGGATGCTGATGTGCTGGCACATCAGATCTTCATGGATCATGGCAAGCCTTCGGGTCCCCCGGGCTCTGTCAGGTGGCTCTGGTGGCGTGGCTCGGCCCTCAGTCCCAGCTGGTCCGGCTGTGGAGAACACAAAGAGGGGGAGGTGGTTAGTCATCCATGCAGACACTGTCCCTGAGGCCATGTCCTCCTCTGTAAGCAGCAACCAACAGTCCTCAGGCCAGAAGAGGGGGATGTTCCGGGAGCAAGGCCATGTGTGGCTTGCACAGTGGGTCATGCCTCACAGGGACCCCGACATGCCCAGGGGACCATGATGCCCACTTCTCCCTCCTCCCTGGCCCACAGACAAGCAGGCAAGGGAAGTGATGGGATCTCATCATGGGCGGCAGAGGAGCCGGGAGCAGCCTGGGCCTCCCTGGGGTCCACACACATAGCTGCGGCTTGCAGCGCTGTCTACAGGAGTGGCTGCTGTCTCACACATGCAGGCATGCCCGTGTGCTGTGTGTGACACTCCTTGGTCTGTGTGGGGTCGTGCCTGTGCCCTTGTGGCTAGCCTGCTTCCAGCTGTGCCAGTCCCACTCCCCTCAGTGGCAGGATGTGAGTGGCGTCCCCTGAGCCTGGCAGCAGGATCCTGGGCATGCTCAGAGGCGGCCTGCTGTGTCTGCGTGCTGCACACTAACGCTGCACATAGTTGCATGTGCACGGACCACAGCATGTTGTCCAGCCCAAGCAGGTCAAGCAACACTCGCTCCCCGTCCCCTGTGCGCCCACCTCCCCTGCCCTGTGTGTGTGACAAAGTGAAACCACTCACCTGAAGATCCCTCCCAGGCATCCAAGGAGGCCTGGAAGACATCCTGGGTCACTGGCACTGGCTCCAGGGACAGGGTTACAGTGTCTGTCTCCTCCTCCTCCGCCGCTTCTGGCTGGCGCTGGCCCTCCTACTCCTCCTCTATGGAGACCTCCGGCTGGGTGATGACGGGGGGTCTCCAGGCCTGAGTCCACCAAGACAGGTGGGGAAGACATTTCCCCACCCCCCAGGATCTGGTGCAGCTCCTGGTAATTGGGGCAGGTGTAGGGTCCTGTCCCTGAGCACAAGCTGCGCTCTGTGGGCCGGACATATCCCTGGCGGAGCTCCTTTACTTTACTCCGGACCTGTTATAAGGTGGGTGGGTGTCCACACTCTGCCAGGAA